GGATGGGGGGACGGGGGGGGCGTCGAGCGGGAGCGGGAGAAAGGGGGAATGCGGGCGGCGGCGGCGGCGGCGGCGGCGGCGGCGGCGGCGGTGGTGGTGTGGGTGGGGGGGGGGGGTCCCGCCTGCCCTGCCTCCTGCGCCGCCACGTGTGCCGCCTGCGCCGCTTCCTGAGCCTGCTGGACGCGCGACGCCGCCTCGCGCATCGCCGCCGCCTGAGGTGGTGTGCAGGCGGCGGCTGCGGTGGCAGCGGTGGTGGTGGCGGTGGCAGCGGTGGTGGTGGTGGTGGTGGTGGTGGTGGTGGTGGTGGTGGTGTGTGCGTGTGTGCCTGGTGGGTGGGTGTGGGTGGGCGTGATCTTGGAGAGTGTCTCGGAAGTGTTTGTGGCACCTCAGCGTCCGCCGCGGCGGCGGCCGCCGCCGCCTTCTGCGACTGCGCGTGCGCGTCGGCCTCTGCCTGTGCGAGCGAGGTTGCGGCGAGGGCGGCCTGGTTCTCGGTCATCTGAGCCGCGGCCTGAGCCTGGCTCGCCGCCTGCGCCTGCACCTCCGCCGCACGCGCCGCCGACTCGGCGTGCTCCGCCGCTTGCGCGGACGCGTGAGTCTTCGAGTCGGCCTGCGCCTGCAGGCGCTGGAGGCTGTGCATGGGGTGCTCGCCGGAGGGTCCGCTCGCCACCATCGGGGTACCGGTCGGGACTGCGACCGGCGCGGGCGCCACCTCCCGCACAGCGACCGGCATGGGCGCCGGCGCCGCCTCCGGACTCTGCTGGGGTGGCGTCATGACTCGGTTGACGGCCGCAGTCATCGGCGGTTGGGGGACGACTGGCGCTGGTGCGCTTCGAGGACGGTAGCCATCCGTCTTGACGCGCTCCGCATTGGCCAGGAATGCCTGACGGGCCGCGTCCTCAGCGCCTGCCGGGGGAGTTGGCGTCGCTGCCGCCGGCGCCGGTCGGTGGCTCGGCGGCGGAGGCAAGACAGACATGCGGGCGCTGATGACTGCGCGAGACGGTGGGAGCCGCGACGGCGCGAAGGAGAGGGCGGAGACGAGGGCGGCCAGCATCATGTGTACACGCTGAAGCTTCGACTGGCCGGGAGAGCAGGCGAGATCTGATATCATCAAGAAGAAGAAATGGTCGCGCCGCGCAGCGGCGATATCGCGGCGGGAGCTCAGGCAGGCAGGCGGCGGCGGCGCCGGCATTACAGCAGAGTCGCGCAAGTCGCGTCGCCGCGCGCCAAACGCGCAACGGTTAGAGGTACTAGGAGCCGCTCGAGGGAGGAGAGAGCCTGAGAGGCTGAACGTGAAGGCAGAATCCAGAAAAGATGAGGCCGTATCCATGTTTCCTCGCGCACCCCGTCTCGTTCGTTCCTTTCCTTCTTTCTCCACAGAGCCCCCTCTCGTTTCACGTTTCCTCTCTAGTTTCCCGAGGAATCTCCGCGGAAATAAGCGCTTGCTGGTTTGGCCCAACAAGCAACATCAGCCAAAGCGGCAAAATACCGCCAGCCACCACCACGACCTAACTAATCTCCCCACACCCCACACCCCACCGCAGTATTTTGCCGATTCGAAAACTCGGTTTCGCCTCAGATTTTGCCCCAGAGACCACACTGTCACTGACCACAACTCTCATACCACGCAAGACTCAGGGAAACTCGAGCGAGTTGCCAGCCAATGGAGCACCAAACACCCTCTAGTTTCTCCATACTAGTGTTTGCGTTGAGCGGGGTGGGGTGCGCCCAAGCCCACAGGGCACGTGACACTGCTCACTGGGCACGCGACAGTAGGGGCGACAGAAAGGGTGGTGTTTAGAAACACCGGGAT